GAAATTTCATTCTGTTGAATTTACTGTTTCTTTATGTGAAAAATCTTTGAAAGTGTTTCTAAAAATATAGCAGAACATAATTTATTCAGTCTATCTGGGATCTGACCTGTTCTAGATTAAGAATATTTCCAGGGTTCAGACATCTTACCTCCAAAAAAAGGCACAGTGACTTTTAAAATATATGTTTCGGCATAGAAAAATGGCTTGTAATATGGGATGTAAGGTACACAAAAAATAAATTTGAGGCCGTGAGCAGTGGCTCATGCCTATAATCAGCATTTTCGGAGGCCAAGGCAGGCAGATTGCTTTGGCTCAGGAGTTCCAGACCAGCCTGGCCAATGTGGTGAAACCCTGTCTCTACAAAAAAATACATAAAAAAAGAAAAGAAAAAGGACTAATTTTTAAAAGCAAGGAAATACATAAAAACCCATAAGGCAATGTCGCATAAACACTAGAATTGAAAAAGTAGAAGGTCTGAATGCTCTCTCTTAGCTCATATTTCTTCTTGGAAACAATGGTTAGACCTAAGTAGAGGCTGTTTTGTAGTCAAGGCACCCACTCTCCAGTTCCCCAGAGCTTATTCCACCACATGTTATCGTTTCTACACTGGTACAAATGTAATTTGCCATGTAGTTTGCCTGCACTGTTTATTATATAATAGAGAACGATTTCTCTATACCAACGTCTCTTTCAAGAGTTGGAAGACAAAGCATGGATTCAAAGATTTAGGTGTTACTTACAAAGTAGAGAACTCTGATTCTCTGCTTTACCTTCAATGTCTACAGCAGTGCTTGGCAAGTATCGGAAACTCAATAATTATTTGCTGATGAATGAATACTAAATAGATCAGGTAAGTGATGTTAGTGGCTTGGACAAGAGTGGTGGCAGTAGAGGCAAAGAAAAGGGGGAAGATTTGAAATACATTTAAGAGGTGGACATGACAGAATTTGGTGATCAATTTGGGAGAGAAAGAGAGGAACAAGTCAATAGTTTGGTTTGAGTACTTGGGCAGACAGTGAAAAGGAGTATATGGGGTGAGGGCAGACATGGTAAGTATAGTGTTAGATATGTGGCTTTTGA